TTAAGTCGTATGGGATGCAGAGATGCTGAGCTACATATAGCATGTGCACCAAAACCTGTCTAATTTTTCCACTGCCATTTTAGAAACATGTTCCCAACTGGGGACATGGTTAGCTTAGACAGGATTGATGTTTTCTTCGAAGCTAAATTGTCTAAGGCAAGAAACAATCAGTCTGCACATGGGTTAGTTGTTAAATTTGAGCTGGCTGCATCACGGTTTGATTTAACTTTATATTGGTTGCGGCAAGAGAAATATTGAACTTTAAATAGTTTGTACAAGGGTTTGTTATAAAAATTAACAGACTTTTATTGCGCTTAAATCAGTAAGGTCACATTATCTTGAAGCAACAGTACAGCATTTATCCCTCATGCCAGTGTCTGTTTCAGTGATAAAATAAACAGCTCCACAGTCAAGGACAGTCTTGTTTTCATCTAAATCTGATCAATATATTTCATTGTTGTCGGCGTCATCAATATATTCCACTGTTGTCATCTAATTGTTATTGTTTTCAGCACATATGGGGGCTGCGTGGTCTTGAGGCATGGTGTCCGCCTCGAGTGCTAGAGGTTCCGGATTCAATCCCCGGTAAGGACCAGGATTTTTTCACATGGACTTGGACTTCTAGTAATTCCCCCTGGTCTCTGGGTAGTGAGATCGGACCCCCGTGTGTATTGTTGCGCACGTAAAAAATTCCTTGGCACTTAACGGCACTGACTGGGCAAAAATTTTAGTTAAAAATCGACCCAAAGTATTTCAGGATCCTCGTTGGTGCTACAGAGACTGTGCACTGTGCTTCTTCGGACTCAGACTTGAGTTAGAAGAACGGAGCATTAATGAGTTACTACCTGTGTGCCATGATGTTGATCCGTTCTTCAAACTTCAGATTTAGCACATTTGCCATTTTCTGTTATCATTTAACTTCAATATCATTGACCATATTTAGTCGGTACAGAAGACTGTGCCTTGTAAAAGACATACCCTAAAAAAACTAAAAGAAATTCTCTAGAGGAAATTCACTCCCGTTGTCGTCAGCACTTTTATTCTTCACTGGATCCAATAAACTCACAATCAGAACAGGAATCTTCATTTTCTGTTTTCTTCATATTCCTTCTGCATTTGGGGTGGGGGGGGGGGGGACAAATCTTGGTTTTTGTGCATATAGACAGTCTACTGCACTTTATAAAGCAGTAACATCATCCCCCTGGTCTCTGGGTAGTGAGATCGGACCCCCGTGTGTATTGTTGCGCACGTAAAAAATTCCTTGGCACTTAACGGCACTGACTGGGCAAAAATTTTAGTTAAAAATCGACCCAAAGTATTTCAGGATCCTCGTTGGTGCTACAGAGACTGTGCACTGTGCTTCTTCGGACTCAGACTTGAGTTAGAAGAACGGAGCATTAATGAGTTACTACCTGTGTGCCATGATGTTGATCCGTTCTTCAAACTTCAGATTTAGCACATTTGCCATTTTCTGTTATCATTTAACTTCAATATCATTGACCATATTTAGTCGGTACAGAAGACTGTGCCTTGTAAAAGACATACCCTAAAAAAACTAAAAGAAATTCTCTAGAGGAAATTCACTCCCGTTGTCGTCAGCACTTTTATTCTTCACTGGATCCAATAAACTCACAATCAGAACAGGAATCTTCATTTTCTGTTTTCTTCATATTCCTTCTGCATTTGGGGTGGGGGGGGGGGGGGGGGGGGGGGGGGGGGGACAAATCTTGGTTTTTGTGCATATAGACAGTCTACTGCACTTTATAAAGCAGTAACATCATCTCCCCCCCCAACCCCCATCAAGTATACCATTTTTGAATAAAAAGGCTAAATTAAACAGTAAAACAGTGTGCTTGTACACTGACAAATATGGTAAATAATGTGGACACGAATAATAGGCCGCACAATTTATTGCCAGGCTCCATCAGGTCCATTACTATGTAGTTGGCTCCATCAGGTCCATTACTATGTAGTTATGTCAACATATAATAAAGCACTAAATCTTAACCTTTCCATCAAAATACACAAACCTGTTGACTTACTTTCGCTTTTCTTGTACCTTGGGGTGTGGAGGTTTCCTAGAGAGATCGTCGGACTTCTCTATCAGCAGTTTTCATTTTAGTTTTGCTCCATTCAAGTCCTCTGCCCATAAGGGATTAACCCTGGGTCACTGGTAGACCAGTGTGATGTTCTATCTTTCAGAGGCACCACACGCTTGCCAATTGTCTAGAAGGATTTGTTAATCTTCTTCTTCTTCGCATTCTCCTGTGGAAAGTTCAAGTTCGTCCACTTCTGGACTGCAGTCCTGTTCCAGAACATGAGTGTTGCTTGTGCATCTGTTTTACAGATTTGGCTCATTTGTATGCAGACTGCTGATTGCTTGCCTCTCAGGCAGATGCACTTAGAAGAGAGTTCCAAATTAGTTGACTCATAATTACATGCTTTTGGGTAGGCAGTGGGTCTATTCTTGTTTTCCCTATAATGGGGCCCCGAAACCCACACCGGGAGGATTTGTTAACCAATGGAATGTCGCCCACACCTCTTGGCAGGGCACAAGCTGATGGTGATTATAACTGGAGTGAAGGAGGGTCAACCCAAACAAGAGCACCACTAGAAGTCAGGCACACGTGATAAGCTAACATGTCCTTTCGTAACCACCAACATTGTCTATGAGAACTGTAACATAATACACCACACCAAGTATGATCTTATAGTGTGATCAGTCTCTTTATTATGGACGAACATAACCATGAAGATGAGTGGTGATCGATGGCACTCTGTCAAGTCTGCTACTGACTTGCCAAATATTCACATCAGCAGTCTCTCCAGACATAGACAAAACACTCCAGCGAACTATGTCCTAGATGCCTGCCAAGGGCGACTCCCACCGGATCGTGCAGATGCACCTATGTGATGTGCAGTGACAATCCCCTGATGGTTCATCCTCTAAATGACCCCGTTACCCTTGGGACTCAAGATAGATGCACCTCTTGGTGAAAACTCCAGACCTCCCATCTGCTATCCCAACCACTCATTGAAGCATCACTAACATCCCGTCAATAAGCCTCCCTCCGATGTTTCCCCATCACAATCCCAAGATGGTCAACACACAAAGTTCCCCCCCCCCTTCCAGTACCTTCTGTGCGTTTAAGGACCCCATTAACCAACGCCACATAGCTGCCACCCTGACGACCCCAAGTCCATTCTAAAAAATCACTGACATAATTGCAAAGTCCAACTCATGATAAACCGCAATCATCCCGGACAGCTCATATGAGCTCCACGGAATAAAATATGGCTAAAACTGTCACATACGCAGTCCACAGGATGTGGACAATTCTGTCCAGTGTGTTGACAGGTTGGAAGTGTGGGCATTTGGGTCACTTGCAACTGGAAAAACAGAAGTTGCTTGGTGTTCACGGGTGGCTGCAGACTCCCCAAGTTTTGTGGGGAATGTGTCATCCGTGACAGGACTTCCCAGCAAAATCTGTGGCAGGACTTCCCAGCAAAGATCTGCGAAAGGACTTCCCAGCAAAGATCTGTGATAGGACTTCCCAGCAAAAATCCATGACAGGACTTCCCAGCAAAGATCTGCGACATGACATCCCAGCAAAGATCTGCAACACAACTTCCCATCAAAGATCTTCAACACAACTTCCCATCAAAGATCTTTGACAGGACTTCCCAGCAAAGATCTGCGATACGACTTTCCAGCAAAGATCTATGTTAGGACTTTCCAGCAAAAATATGTGACAGGACTTTCCAGCAAACGATCTGTTACAGGACTTCTCAGGAAAGATCTGTGACAGGACTTCCCAGCAAAGATCTGTGACAGGACTTCCCAGCAAAGATTTGTGACAGGACTTCACAGCAAAGATCTGTGACAGGACTTCCCAGTAAAGATCTGTGACAGGACTTCCCAGCAAAAGATCTGCAGCAAAGATATGTTACATGAAATCCCAGCAAAGATCTGTGACAGGACTTCCCAGCAAAGATATGTGACAGGACTTCCCAGCAAAGATCTGGGACACGACTTTCCAACAAAGATCTGCTACAGGACTTTCCAGCAAAGATCTGCTACAGGACTTTCCAGCAAAGATCTGTGACAGGACTTACTAGCAAAGATCTGCGACAGGACTTCCCAGCAAAGATCTGCGACACAACTTCCCAGCAAAGGATCCGCTGCAAGACTTCCCAGCAAAGATCTGTGACATGATTTCCCAGCAAAGATCTGCAACACTTCTTTCCAGCAAAGATCTTTGATAGGAGTTCCCAGCAAAGATCCTTGACAGGCCTTCCCAGTAAAAGATCTGCAGCAAAGATATGTGACAGGACTTCCCAGCAAAAATCTGTGATAGAACTTCCCAGCAAAGATATGTGACAGGACTTCCCAGCAAAAAATATGTGACAGGACTTTCCACTAAGATCTGTGACAGGACTTCCCAGCAAAGATCTGTGACAGGACTTCCCAGCAAAGATCTGTGACAGGACTTCCCAGTAAAGATCTGTGACATGACCTTCCTGTAAAAGATCTGCAGCAAAGATATGTGACAGGACTTCCCAGCAAAGATCCGCAACAGGACTTCCTAACAAATATCTATGACAGGACTTCCTAACAGGTATCTGTTTAAGTCCTGCTTGAGCATGAGGTAGAACAAACAGCAAACATTAATGAGACCCAAAATATGAAATAGAAAACATCTCTGATGTAATTGGACAAAACATTTCAAACTTTATTGAGATGAATATATTTACATTTTAAACAAGCTTTGAAAATCAAAGACTAGCTTGTCAGAGGTTTGTTGGGGTCCGATGTTTGTGTCTGAGGTCTGTGGATGTCTTGAGGTTTGTTGGTGTCAGAGGTTCGTTAGCGTCATGAGGTCTGTGTGTGTCTTAAGATCTGTGGGCGACAGGTTAGTCAGTATCTGAGGTGTGTGTTGAATTATGTGGGTGATGGAGATTTGTAAAATCTGTGTCATGTCTACTAGTCTTACACTGTTCTAGCCGGGGGTGTCTAAGATTTGTGAAGCTGTCCATCTGGCCAGGTTTTTCTTATAACACTGCAAACTGCACACAGGAACTAAAGTCTTGGAGCAGATGGATGTCTTCTTGTTTCTGCAGCCATCCACACCACACAGCGCAGCCTCCGGGTAAGGTCTTGATATGAGGAGAAAGTAGAATATAAGTAAAAGGAAATATGTCTTTAGGCGTACTGTGCATATAGGGCTAGACCTACATTTTACAGATTAATCGGCACTCAGTGGGTAATGTGGTCGACACCACGGCGGCCGCTTTTACTTCCCATTTAAGGCCAGGTCGACCTGGGAACCAAGGCCAATTCTGAAAAACAAACATCTGTCTTAGAACCTGAACCCACAACCTTCAGATCCACATGTGAGAGTCTAGCTGTTACACCAAGGCAGCTTCTTAAAGGACTCTCTTTCACATCATTGGGCGTATGGGGGGGGGGGGGGGGGAACTATATTTTATTACAGACCAATTAGCATATGGTAGTTGATGTGGTCAACATTGTGCTGACCTTTACTTCCAAAGATTTCATATGGTGTCCATTCTAGGGCTAGGACGACCAGGGAGCCAAGGTTTGAGGTTTGAAGTCTGAACGATGGATCAACATCATGGCACACGGGTAGTAACCCATAAGTGCTCCGTTCTTCTTTTAACTCAAGTCTGAGTACGAAGAAGTTTAGCACAATGCAGAGGCTCTGTAGCACCGGCGAGGATCCTGAAATACATTGGGTTGATTTTTAACTCCAGATTTTGCCCGGGCAGCGCCTTTAGGCTACTCTTTTCGATTTGGAACTGCCGAGGGAAATTGTTTTTATGTGCACAACAATGCACATTGGCGTTTTATCTCACTAACCAAACCAGGGGGAATTACTAGAAGTCCAAGTCTACGGGAAAAATCCCAGCCCTTACCAGGGAGCCACGGTTATGACTAAAAAAAATTCTGGCTCTAGGATATAAAAGTCACTGAGAAATTGCAATGTAGCCTTTATTTACCAAATTTCTTTTGTCATGGGGATCTTTGGGGCTAAGAATTTTAGAGCTGCACGGCTAGTATAGTTGTCACACACTGTGCAGGTTTAGGATCATCAAGAAGAATTCAAGAGTACCTGAGCTAAACACCTCTCTTTACCTCTCTCAGGGTTAGGTCTGGATATTGTAAGGGAAAAACAGAATACAAGTAAAAGTAAAAATCCCAATCTGTCAGGTCCTGAACTCACAACTTTCAGAAAAAACATAACTGATGTGTGAAATATGAGTGTTTGGAGGGGCCAAATGTGAGACAGGCCTGCAAGCTCAATTTATGACACTTTGAAAACATAGTTTGTTCATTCATTTTCTCACTGTTTCTCTTTTATATATTTACACAGACAGAGAGACTTGTCTGCTCTTTCGTTTATTTATCAACACAAGTGCCTTGATCTCCCATCAATAGTAATGCACCTGACGGGACCAACTACACTGCACTGGGTTTCATCCCATATGGCTCAGTCTCTCTCTCTCTCTGCAGGAATAATCGCCCGTCAAATCATGAACTCTGCGGCTCCAGCAATGATCACCAGTGATCTTAGTAAAAACTCCAACCGTGAACTGGATGACGCAGTCGCCATACAATCCCACAACCTTCAGAGCGTGAAGTAAAGCAGCTTGACTGCTTTGCCATGCAGACCCCCCAGTCACCAAGGCAAGGAAACAGCAATAACAAATGAATTAGCAACCATAATAATAATAACAAAACCCACAAGCAGAAATTTTTTTTCTGGGAAAAAGTGCCAGTACTCAGGTCTAAACCCCGCCACCACCCCCCCCCCCCCCCCCCCCCCCCTTTTAGAAACGCCACCACAAAGTGTTCAATGCAGCAGTGCTGAACAGAAATGAAGGGTTTAAACAGTCAACAACAAAAAGGAAAAAAAAGGGGGGGGGGGCGTGGTACCAGTGCAGCAAATCACCCCCCAAAAAAACCTGCCCAAGTGGAAATGTCAGTTGGCTTAAGTCAACACTGTACTAAAAAATAGGCTCGGGTCATCAGACATTACCGTGGACTCTTGAATACACAATTTACACCACATTGTCCCCCAACAATTTAACAACCCTTCCACATACACAACAAAATGTACCTTAACAAATAGACCAAAAACTGCTATAATAAAACAAACAAATATACCCACACCTATAACATAACACTAATAATAGCATTAGGGAGTCGTTGCAGTGTAGGCGCTGGACGTTTGTCGGCAGATCTGAAGGTCATAAATTTAAGGCAGAGATGGACTCATTGTTTGTTCTTCTTCAAAAATAACCTTGGCCTCCAGGTCGACCTAGCTTTAGATGGGCACCGGGTAAAGTCCTGGGAAGTAAAGGTGTCCAGTGTGATGGTGACCATAACAACCACCGAGTGCTGCCTGGTCTATAAAACACAGGTACAGCCACACTATACACCTGAAGGTGTGGGAAAGGATCTTTTAATAATAACTGCAATAACAATGATGTAAGCAACAATGGCAGTAATGAAAGCAGCTGCAAAGCTCACCTGGCAGTCTGGGGTGCCAGCGGGAAAGGCACATCCGGCGGCATGCAGATTGTGATTCTGTCTAGAGCATTTCTGTAGACAACTCTGGGACTGTTGCTGCGCTTTCCACCACGAGCCTGCACGTGAAAACATACAGATGAGATCAGATAATCTCGGGTGGTTGGGGGAACGGAGTTTATGGAAGGAAGTCAGAGGTGAATGTCAATGGGAAATAAAAATGGGGAAAAATATGAATGGGGGAAGGGGAGTTTATGAGCAGAAGTCAAGGGTTAATATGAATGGGAAACAATTCAATACTGGTGACAATATGAAAGGGGGAAGAGGAGTTTATGAATGGAAGTCAAGGGTGAATATGAATGGAAAACAATAATGGGGAAAATATGAAAGGGGAGTTTATGAATAGAAGTCCAGGATGAATGGAAAACAATACAGTACTGGTGAAAATATGAAGAGGGGAAGGGGAGTTTATGAATGGAAGTCAGGGGTGAATATGAATGGGAAACAATAATGGAGAAAGTATAAAAGAACAGGCATTAATTATTTCTGCTGTCTGGTAGGGAGAGGTAACAAAGAGTGGAAGGTTGACAGACAAGACTGCTATCTTCTGGGTAGATGTAGTAATAGCAGTGAAGGTGAGTAAAACAGAAAACAGACTGCTGTCTTGCAGGGAGATGTGACAAAAAGCGGGGGTGAGAGAGAGATAAGACTGCTATCAGGTAAGGAGACTGGTACAAACAACAAGCAGGGGCGAGAGAGAGACAAGACTGCTATCTTCTGGGTAGATGTAGTAATAGCAGTGAAGGTGAGTAAAACAGAAAAAAATACTGCTGTCTTGCAGGGAGATGTGACAAAAAGCGGGAGTGAGAGACAGACAAGACTGCTGTCAGGTAGGGAGACTGGTACAATCAACAAGTAGGGGCGAGAGAAAGAAACCAGACTGTTCCCTCCTAGCAAGACCAAAAATGACAATCAAAGCAGGGGTTAGCGACTTCTCTTGAAGGTTCTTCAGGCAGCCTAGTGTAGCAAAACTATACCAAAAGACTGGGAGACTGTCATCTTTATTCCTATATTTAAAAAGGGTGATAACAGACAATGTCAAAACCACAGAGACATATCTCTTCTTAGTGTTCCTGGTGAAAGTTACTCTAGAATTCTCGAGCAGAGACAGGAGTCTGGCAGAGCCACAGCTGGATCAGGCCCAATGCAGCTTATCTTCACACTTGACAGATGAGTGAAAAAGCCCTTGAATATAAGAGTGAGATGCACCTATGGTTTTGGGGGGGGATCTAGAAAAGGCCTTTGATAAAGTTCCATGGAGCAAGCTTTGGGACTGCTTGACAAAGAAAAACATTCCAGCACCCAAGATCAGTGCAATATAGTTTCCACAAAAGCTGCAGAAATTATGTAAGAAAAGTCAGAAGAATTTAGGACCACTAGCAGTGTTAGACAAAGTGATATTCTCTCACCTTACCTCTTCATTCTTATAACGGATAATGTCATCAAGACCTGTAAGAAGACAAAGAAGTACTCAGTAGGGTACTGGAAGATGAGACCAATCTGTATATCAGAGCTGGCATTTGCAGATTATGTGGCCCTGATAGCTAAATCAGAGGCCCACCTTCAATGCAACTTACCTGTCTGGAAGGAAGACCTTGAGAATAAAGAGGTGACCATCACTATATCCAAAACTCAAGCCATGGAGATCTCAAGAAAGGAGAAGAAACATCAGGTTGTGATGGGACAGTGTGCACTGGAACAGGTCAATCAGTTTAATGTCAACCAGTTTAAATTCCTTAGAGTTGTTATAGAATGAAATGGATGCATTAGAACAGAGCTGGCAACGCAAAAAGCAGCTGCTGGGAGAATTTTGCAGGCCACAAAATGAGGGTTTGTTAGCAAAAGATAAACTGGCAAGAGGACGAAAATGACTGTTTACCGCTCTACCTTTGTGCCAGTCCTGACCTATGGGCAATGACAACAGCTCACAGAAGCCAGCTTCAGGCCTCAGAAATAGAAATGAGATATCTGAGAAATGTTGTCCAAGTGACCAGGAGTGACATAAGTCCACATAAGTCAGACAATACGTCAAGATCTTGAAATCCAGACCTTACAAACCCAAGTGGATCAGTCACAGCTACGATGGTTTGGATGTGTATGCAGAATGGGAGAAAATCGGCCACTACAGCAGGCATGGGAGTCTAAAAGCCAGGGAACCAGACCTCTAGGGCGACCCAGGGTCCACTGGGAAGGCAACATCCGACAGTCCCTGAGTGACACAAGACTGGAATGGAACAAAGCCAGAAAGAAAACTACTAATAGAGAAGTCTGGCGATCTCTCCGGCAAACCCCTATACCTCAAGGTAGAAGAGGAGCAACTAACTAAGTATAACAGGGGTGAGAGAGAAACTAGACTGTTGCCTAGCAATAACAATTATGACAATAAAAGCAGGGGTAAGACAGAATGACACATCAGCTGACTTACTGACAGATTAGTGACAACCAGAAGGCAAGTGGGGTGTTCAACAAAATGAGACAGGAATCTGCTGCTTTGTTTGAAGGAAGACAGGAAACAACCATAACTGGAAAGGTGAGAAGAATTTTGTTGTTTGCAGAACAGGAAAAGCATATCTCGCATGTATACCTGTAAACATTATTATATACCTTGCGAGAATTCTGTTCCTAACCTCCAATGACATGGATTTATTGCATCAAATGTCTTCTTTTTATAAAATGCATTATTGGGCTGCCTATACTGTTCTTTATTTCTGTGAAACATCCTCTGTTGGATGTTATCCATGTGCCTAGACACATAAATTTCTGTACTTGTCCTAAAATACAGCCTTTGACTTTTATTAAAAATTCTATAATTATACTACTCTTCTCTTTAATATTACCATTACTATAGTATTCCCATTATTCAAACTGAGGCTCATGTTATCACTTTCTACCACCACCATCATGTCTATCAATCCCTCTAGTTCATTCTCACACAATACAAAATAGCGCAATGAAGTCACCAATAAATCTAAATAAAGAAAGACACCAACAAACACTGCCTACCTTGGCAACTCTCTTGTTTTTGCTGTCTTGCTTCTTTAGCAGCTTGTGAACTGTTTGATTCTGCAGAAAATTATTACAGGCATCAGAAACAATATCCATGCCACAAAGGGATCAGAAACAACATCCATGCCACAAAGGGATCAGAAACAATATCCATGCCACAAAGGGATCAGAAACAATATCCATGCCACAAAGGGATCAGAAACAACATCCATGCCACAAAGGGATCAGAAACAACACCCATGCAAAAAAAAGGGATCAGAAACAACATCCATGCCACAAAGGGATCAGAAACAACATTCATGCCATAAAGGGATCAGAAACAACATCCATGTCACAAAGGGATCAGAAACAATATCCATGCCACAAAGGGATCAGAAACAACATCCATGCCACAAAGGGATCAGAAACAACATCCATGCCACAAAGGGATCAGAAACAACATCCTGCCACAAAGGGATCAGAAACAATATCCATGCCACAAAGGGATCAGAAACAACATCCACGCCACAAAGGGATCAGAAACAACATCGTGCCATAAAGGGATCAGAAACAAAATCGTGCCATAAAGGGATCAAAAACAATATCCATGCCACAAAGGGATCAGAAACAATATCCATGCCACAAAGGGATCAGAAACAACATCCTGCCACAAAGGGATCAGAAACAACATCCATGCCACAAAGGGATCAGAAACAACATCGTGCCACCAAGGGATCAGAAACAACATCCATCCCACAAAGGGATCAAAAACAACATCCATGCCACAAAGGGATCAGAAACAATATCCATGCCACAAAGGGATCAGAAACAACATCCTGCCACAAAGGGATCAGAAACAACATCCATGCAAAAAAGGGATCAGAAACAACATCCATGCCACAAAGGGATCAGAAACAACATCCATGCCACAAAGGGATCAGAAACAACATCCATGCCACAAAGGGATCAGAAACAACATCCATGCAAAAAAAGGGATCAGAAACAACATCCATGCCACAAAGGGATCAGAAACAACATCCATGCCACAAAGGGATCAGAAACAACATCCATGCAAAAAAAGGGATCAGAAACAACATCGTACCACAAAGAGATCAGAAACAACATTGTGCCATAAAGGGATCAGAAACAACATCCATGCCACAAAAGGATCAGAAACAACATCGTACCATAAAGGGATCAGAAACAACATCATGCCACAAAGGGATCAGAACTCATTAAGGCCACCAGGAATGTACACCAGCTTTTGGGCTATCATCATCACTATCATCATGTACCATGTCAATAAACATAGGCTGTCAGGTTTTGCCATCTCACAGGATCACCAGAATTACAGATCTAGTCGGTTTACCCCCCCCCCTTCCCCACCACAGCTAAACAATCCAAGTATTTATCTTTTTGCCTTCCTGTTGCTCTTTTTCCATCAATCCTCCTGCCAGGAGTTACACAAGCTTTCAAGAGCATTCCTTTTCATAACACATCTTGTACTGCGGCAGCTTCCACAAAACTCGGCAGAAGTTCTAATCAAGTCTGTAGGGCTTATGGCTGCATAGGACAAGCTCTTACTAACTGTGATCATACAGAAACAATTTACCTTGTCAATTTCGATTTTCTCATTTGCTTGTTGCCGCCTTCGTTTTGCCTTTTCTTGTCGTCTTTTTTTCTGTTCATCTGTGAGCTCGACTGTTTTATAACCTGAAAGTATTTGTGAAAATAATCTTAAGACAACAGAGTACCTCACCTGTTTCCATGGCCATGAACAACTGTATTTATTTTAATCTTTTGTTTTTAATTCTTGTGCTCCAGTCGGTGTCTGTAGCTTAGGGTAGCGAACACGGTTTGCAATTCTGAGCTACCCAGTTCAATTCCGGCTGCAGATGATTCAGCACAGACCCTTTTGTGTTGACTCCCATAATTGTACATTTTCCTAAGGCAAGGAACAAACATTCTGCATTTTTTTTTAAAAGCTAGATTTGTAAAACAGATGTGCATGCAACACTGGAACAACATGTAACAAGACTAAAGTCCAGAAATGGATGAAACGCCGGGGCTATGCGCTGAAGTTGACAGCTGTATACATCGGAACACCCTGGAACATGACTTTAAGTCCAGAAGTGGGTGAACACCCAGTGTTTTTCATTGAAGTTAACAGCCATGAGCGTGAATAGGAAGCTGTATAAGGGATGTAGTGGCCAGTCTCACACGAACCCTTGTTAATGATCTCATGTGATAGGCACTGAAGGTTACAGTTTTGCTACACTGTGCCTTCCTTACAGGCCTTAGAAACATAAATGTAAAATATATTTAAAAAATTAAGCAAACATTGTACAAGACAAACCAGCAAAACTGAACTGAATAAAAGCCTTAAAATATGCATATATTGCCTGCGGATTTTATTTCTCATCATCGCATCATTCTGTCTCACCTAAAGGCAAACATCACATCATACTGTCTTACCTGAAGGCAAACAGCATATCACACTGTCTCACCTGAAGGCAAACATCACACCATACTGTCTCACCTGAAGGCAAACATCACATCATACTGTCTCACCTGAAGGCAAACATCACATTATACTGTCTCACCTGAAGGCAAACATCACATCACACTGTCTCACCTGAAGGCAAACATCACATCACACTGTCTCACCTGACGGCAAACATCACACCATACTGTCTCACCTGAAGGCAAATACTGTCTCACCTGAAGGCAAACATCACATCACACTGTCTCACCTGAAGGCAAACATCACATCATACTGTCTCACCTGAAGGCAAACATCACATCACACTGTCTCACCTGAAGGCAACTGAAGCAGTTCATCTGTCTGGCTCCCATGCAACAAGGCTTTCTGTGAACAGAAGAAAATCCCCCACTACAAGAATCAGCTTTCACAACAATGTAACTAGGGATTAGATACGAGGACATCTCTCACTCTACAAGCTCATCAAACATAATGTACATTCTCACGATACAGGAGTGAAGATGTGATATATGTTACTGTTAGCTGTATTTAGACCCCATATTTACTACATTTTAAGTGGTGTAGTGTCCTCAATCCCATGCTGATAAAATTTGTGTGTGGGTTTGAATCCCAACACTGCACAGCCAAGTGAGAAACCGGACTAATGTCTGAGTTATGTTGATACAATTCAAAGTCCTGGGTAGCCAAGAAAACAGCTACAAGTGGCTCATGTTGTTAAATGGTAGTAACTACCCGCTACCCACAGAAGTAGGAAAGGGATAGTTAGATATTGAGAGGAATTTACGGAGACAGTAGCAAGAGATTCGGCTGACTACCAGCTGGTCAAACATAAGGGATGTTCTCGCGATAAAGGTGTGCAGATGTGACGTATGTTACTGTTAGCTGTTTTCAGTGTCCGTATTCACTACTGTTTAAGGCTGTATAGAATACTGTAAACAGAAGTTTTACTGGCGAAGACTCAGCTGACCCATCAGTTAACAATGCAGGGCTCTAAGCAGGAGATCCCTGTTCGAACCCCATGTGAGGCTAGGGATTTTTTTTTTGTCAGGGGCAGAAATAAAATCCAAACTTGCACAGTTTGTGACGCCAGCACTAGATAGCTGTATGGAAATAAATCCTCAGGTTCAACTACCCCCCCCCCCCCTCCCCCGCTTCACACCGTAAAAGTGGTAAACAGGCAGTAATGGAGGTGTTTGTTTTTATTTTTGGTCGTAAAAGTCTACTAACTAGAAGTTTTTCTTTCAAAGTCAAAGTGCATCTGCCTGAGAAGCAAGGAACCAACAGTCTGCATATAAGTAAGACAGGCCTATAAAATGGATGTGCATACAAAACACAAGTTCTGGAACATGACCACAGTCCAGAAGTAGATGAACAACCATAATAGTCCGCTGGAGTTTGCAGCTGGTGAGTGTTAAGAAAAAGACACTGCTAGACCTGAAATAAATGGATCTGAAGGGCCAGCATCAGCCTTAAACAAGATCGAGCTACAACAAATATCGGTCACATTATAGGATTACTATGAGACAACACCCCATAAGCAGTGTCTCTGATAGCAGAAACACATCAAGAAATCATGCCTGCAAACAGAATGACAATCTAAGCATAAGTGTCCATACACTTATGACAAATAAACATATCACCAACATCAGCATAACTCCAGCTGTGCTTATAATCTTCTTCAGCTTTGGAGGAACATCCATGGAAATGTGTTTTAAAAATAGCAGTAGTCACGTAGAGTATATTATATAAATTAAAAAATGTTTGTCATTTTAATTTTTAAAAGTTTTATTTATATGTATGGAAACTTATGGGACACCGTAGATCAGGGTTATTTCAGGGTTATTCAACTGGTGGTCCAGGTCTGAATCTGGCCAGCCGGGGCCTAGCAAATGGCCTGCAGATCATATTACGATAATGATCTCTCTGTAACCTGACCAGGAAAGATCAGCCAAAGGTGGGAGTCAGAGAAGAAGCTGTCTTATCTCAGTTTTGCTGAAACAGTACCAGCGAGCATCTGAAGACACTTTTCTTCTTCTGCGTTCACTGTTAACAAACAGCAACTGGCAAGTTGTACTGTGGGTTACAGCTATTTTTCTTCTGTCTTTTGAAGACAGTGTCCATGTTTGACATTAATAGCAGAGTGTTAGTAAGAATATTGTGTTAAACAGTCTTCTTTTAGTTTTCATATTCACATGCTTGCATTTCAAAATTAGTGCCATTTGGCCTAAAACGTGATTGGCTTTATTGCTTCTTTGTTGGATTTGTTTAATAATTCTTCCTTCTTCTGAAAATATGCTTCCCAATTATGTAAAATCCTTCCCCTGCTTTAACTGGTGTTCATCAGTTTGGATATTGGTGAAGGCGGAAGCAGAAATCAATGATCTTACCTGTCGAGCTGTTAACAAAGCTGGGTCCTTCTTTCCAATTTCTCCGTAGCTGTTGAGATGTCCTTTCTCCAGGGCATCCAGCCATCGCTCTTCATCCGACGTCTCGTACTGATCATCGCTACCAGCCTTCTTTGACGTCTTTCCTGTAATGTTCATGTAAGACTAGCCACATATTTAAATTATGTATCAGAAAAAGATTAAAAACCCCCACAGGCCTTAGATATCGGTATTATAAATTGCCTTTATAACAGCTTTTCAGGCAGCAAGTCATGTATAGATAAGTATGGTAAGTATTTTATCTTTCATCGTAGCTGCTCATCTCTCCTGCAGGAGAGTTAAAGTGAAAATTTTGAGATCATGCATCTTTCCTGTGGCAACTTATGGACTCTTACTCAATCACTATTTTTAAAAAATCTGAGCTTTTGAACTGAAATTCTACAGACAAACTCTTAGAATGTCTTGGATCCAGAAGAAAAAAAATAAACACCCTATGTGATATGAGCATCAAAGAGAATTGACTCATAACAGCATCCTGTCCCCAGAGCTGAGGTATTCTGACCACATGAAACATCATGGTGACCTGGTAAGAGAATGGAGGGTAGTTTCTAGAAAAAGAAAACAAACAGAGACAAGCCTCTGCAAAGGTGAATGCAAGACAATGAAGGTACACTGACTATAAAAGCAGGTAGGGCTCGCAAACTGGCTAGAGAAAGAGACACTTGGGTGTGCCGTGACGAGAGCGACATCCTGTACTGGACCTGGTGACTGACGATGAGATGCTGCTTACTGAGTTTCTGGATCCCTGCATTCTACAGCTGCTCATCTTGTGTTGCTATTATTAACTGCATGTATGTCCGCATTGATACTTCTCTGATGTTTGTTTTGAAATTGTTTTATTTTTCCAGCAGTCTGTCCTTTCGCCCACTCTCATGGTGTTTTCATGACTTGTGTGTCCAGGCTACCTTTTTCATTACTGCGACTTCTTTGCTTTGTTTTATTTTTCCAGGGAGGCTGCGTGCTAGAGGTTCCAGGTTCAATCCCTAGTAAGGGCTGAGATTTTTTTTACGTGGACTTGGACTTCTAGTGATTCTCTCTGGTCTCTGGGTAATGAGATCGGACGCCTGTCTGTATTGTTGCACACTTAAAAAATCCCTTGGCAGTTGGAAATCGACAAGAGTAGCCTAACAGCACTGCCCAGGCATAATTTGGAGTAACAAATCTACCCAAAGTATTTCAGGATCCTTGTTGGTGCTACAGAGCCTGTGCACTGTGCTGAGCTTCTTCGGACTCAGACTTGAGATAGAAGAATGGAGCACTTATGGGTTAGTATTTGTGTGCCATGACGCTGATCCGTTGTTCAAAGTTCAAACTTACTTTTCCATATCTTTTTCAAGCATCCATTGTTAATCAAGCTGGTTATTTATATTTCTCAATCCACAGACAGCAAAACACAAACTAAACAAAAAGTAAAAGTAGTGAGCTGTACCTTCAGGAGTTCCAACAACAGATCCACTCTGTACCACAGACATGACACTAAGAGATGTAAAAAGACAATGTTACAGTGACAAACATCACCAGAAGTTACAAGGCTACGCTGTTTAAACTTCATAAATAATTCACCAAACATTTATATTTCACTCACCACACGTCTGATAACTGGCTCATCAAAAACAACATGTGAATTGTATGGTTCATCACAACTTTTACTATATTGGGATCCGCATTAGCGCAGTTGATAGGAGGCTCGCTTTCAAATCCAGATGCATCTTGCTGCAGCCACGGTCGGTGTTCATCCAGCCTCTAGGAAATAGGTACCAGAGTGACACACTGGGGTAAACAGATGAACGTCGCTGTAGCTACAGAATTAAGTGCAGGCGGTGACACAGGCGGACAGTTTCTATATCAGCTGTCCGTACTGGTGGCAGATCACTTATGGTTTATAACCGTGTGCAATGACGCTGGTTTGCATCTCCCGACTTTACCTTTTACAACTTTTATTATGGTCTGAGGAAAATATTTTAGAAATCTGCCTTATTTGTAAGCCAAACTTTTGGTTCCTAACCTCTCAGGCAGATGTACTCCAACTTTGAAGGAAACAAACCTAATTAGTCCCTGCGTACAACATAGTCACCTCATACGACTTAGTCACTGTGTACAACACAGTCACCATGTACGACATAGTCACCACTTACAACAGTCACTATGTACGACATAGTCACCGCATACAACATAGTCACTGTGTACAACACAGTCACCATGTACAAGACAGTCACCATGTACGACATAGTCACCGCGTACAACACAGTCACCATGTACGACATACTTGTTAAGAAGGCAGTGGGTCTCTTCTTGTTTTCTCCCAGAACCCTTGAGGGAAACTCACTAAGCAACTGAGTATGGCTCTGTAGCCTAGAGGTTAGTGAAATCTTTTCACAATGCAACATCTGCATATTTACTAGGGTTTGATTTTAGGTGCGCAACAGCACATCATCTTGTGAATTCCGGACATGCGGTAACAAAGGAAAAGGCATTCTAAATTCTTCACGTCATCCAGTGGCAGAGAGCTAACATTTTTTGAAGTCGCTACAATTTGTTACCCACGTCCTGAACTTTGTAAACAGAAAGACATGATTCTGACATTGCGGTCACCCTGGTAAACAATATATTGTTCGTGTCTTCTTTGCTCAAATTATTTTTAAAAGACCATTCTTGTGGCTTTCAGACAAGGGTACAAGAGTTCCACTGTAGAAGAGACTTAGGCTTCATCATGTACTATTTCCACAGACAGCCGCCAACCTTCACTGTGGAATGAGCACCATTTATTTTTACAAGCAAATGACAATTCGCTCAATAAAAGCATCACATGGCTTGTATTTCACCACAAAACTTCTGTAATCTTATTCATTAGAAATATCCCACAGTGTGTATGTCACTCAGCAAATACCAGATATTTTAGCAGCACACCTTTGTTTCTCTCACAAAGGGGTCAGTTATCACCACAAAGTTTCTGGAAAACAAAAGTGGCAGTTCACACCATAAAGTGTCTATTACAGTAACGTTGAAACCACCAGAAAAAAGCCCTAGGTATTAGATGCATCATATGATTTGTATGTCACTCAGCAACCATCAGATATGTTAACAGATACTTCACATGATTTGTATTTCACACAACAAACATTAGATATGTACTTTAGCAGAAATGCCACATACTTGTATTTCACACAAGAAACATCATATATGTACCTCAGCAGAAACACCACACATTTGTATTTCACACAACAAACATCAAATACGATACTCAGCATATGCCCTACACACCTTCTATTTCACACAGCAAACCTCACAACTTGTATTTCCCACAACAAATATCAGATGTTGCAACTCACTTTTTGGTTCCCATAGTCTCTCCACCAATCTTCAGTTTGAGCTTGATTGATGTTTTAGGGGACAACAGGCCGCTGTTTTGTTCTTGTTTCATCTCTCTTTTATGTTTGTGCTTTTTATGTTTCTTGTGTTTTTTGGAAGGCGGTTCTGATTTTAATAACACAAAAGAAAACAAAGAAACTGAAATAACTGTAAATGAACATGTACAGATCTTTTTCTTCTTTGCGTTCTCCGGCTGAAAATTCCGGTGGAAAGTTATGGTTGTTTGTCCACCTCTGGACATTAGTCTTGTTAAAGAACCTGAGTGTTGCATGCAGCCCCATTTTACAGATATGATTTATATTTATGCAGATTGTTGGTTCCTTGCCTCTCAGGCAGATGCACACCAACTTCGAAGGAAGCTCCCAGTCAGTCGACTCATGTGACATGCTTGTTGGAGAGGCAGTGAGTCTATTCTTGTTTTCCCCCACAATGCCCCCGGAACCCACACGGGGATGAAGTAAATGAGATCCAAAAACTACAGACCTTTCATTTTTAAACATTACTGTGGTTTTCAGACTCTGAAACAAGAATTGGACCATGAAAGAGAGAGAGAACACATAAAGTAATATTTCCAAAGATAGCAATAGGTGTCCTGTAGCAAAACTACACTGTAATGGCAGCACATAATTTACTATTATTATGTAGGATGGCTGAACTGAAATGGTTGGGGCATATTGAAAGAATGTCAGATGACAGAGAAGTAAAAACTGTATACACAAGGGAGATGAATGGTCATAGACCATGAGGCAGACCAAGATGACGATGGAGAGATAATGTAAAGGCAGACCTGCAAGCACTTGTGTCACCAACTGGAAAGAGAAGGCCAACCAGAGAGATGAATGGAGGCGGGTGATATCTGCAGCAATGAACCTCAAGGGCTCGGAATGCTGAAGAAGAAAAAGATGTGGGATGGGAGACAGAAGAAATTATCGACAGCCACATATCTTAGCAGGAAATCAAGATTAGAACTAATGGGCGCTACCATGGTATGGCGGCTAGACACTCGCCTGCCAATCTGCTGGTCGGTGGTCCAAATCTGAACCTTCTGTCTTTTTATGTGTGTGCAAAAATGACATTGGCTCGCAGGTCAATCAAGTCTAAAGGTAAAGTCCTGGGAAGCAAAGATGGCCAGTGTCATGCTGACCACATCACTCAATTAGTGATGATTGGTGTATAATTAAAGGTCTAGCACTATATGGCCAATTTGCCCGAAGAAGTGGAAAGAGGTCGTTTAGATTAATTAACAACCAATGCAAGAGAAATAAGGCTGAGGGCAGTCACACACACCTGACACAGAAACAGACAGGCAGGAATGTGGAGCAAGCATGATGTGTATTTAGTGTTAAGGGTGAAGACAATAGTGGGCTTGTGCTTCTCTTACCTGCAGAGCAACAGAAGAGTAAAACAAATAATGAAGATAAGATTGATTTCAGATATAGAAAGATGAAAAAGAAAGAATGAATTTAGAGAATAAGACAGACAAGTAAACAAAGAAAGAAACACACAAGAGAGACTTAGAAAGAGTGGTGAAAATGGGGAGAGTAAGAGAGAGAGAGAGAAAGAAAGAAAAAGAGCGAAAGAAAAAGCAAGAAAGGGGACAAAAAAGTGATTTGCCACACAAACAAAGCAAGAGAGAGAAAAATAAAATAAAAGAAAGCATGAGAGATACGTTAGAGAGATTTTACCAAAATTTACAAACCTCCTGGACTGTCATCACAGAAATCCATTTCCGTGGTGTAAACAAATGAGCCAACCACAAAATGTACTTGCTATTTTGAAGTCCTGCTAACAAGCAGTGATGGACAGATATTGCTCACAGCAGATGCAGAATGGTTCAGCCTGAACTTTTATCATACATACTGAAAGTAAATTGTATGGAGTTGTAGTTTATAGACTAGGGTACAAGTGTTAAAAACAGGTCGCACATTTGTTGTATGGTCTTACATTTTTTTTTAACTTACTAAATTACTTTTATAACTTTGTGGCTTTCCTTCGAACTTCTATCCCACATTATGGCGGCCAAACAAATACCCTAACAGGGCGCCAGTCGTGTGTATAATAGGGACTTCATCCTTTGAACACATCGTGGCAAAACTAGGATTACTTGACAATGTCACGACAAGCAACACTGCAGATCATAGTAGCAGATGACAATAGCGACAGCTGACAATTTAGAGCGTTTCTGCAGATGATACTAGCAGACGATACTAGCGACCATTGACAATTTCGAGACACGCGACATTACAGACGATAATAGCGACATGGCGGGGAGACCACATGCTCAGACGCAGATTGCCAATAGTGTTCTTTTAATTAAACTCACTACCGAGCGTGTTCCCTGCGTCACTACGCACGAATGGGGATCTAAACTAGATGCCTGGGACTCACAAGCAAATAAATTGGAGGAAGTTGCACAAGATGCGGTAGCTGCTGCCCGTGAGTCCCAGCCATCTAGTTTAGCCACCCCATCCGAGTCGCGCGTAGCGGCACAGGGGATGCTGTGGACTATGCGGCATAGTCGCAGAAACAGGTCCGCAATTAACATATCGCTGAGACCCTGTTAGAGCATTTGTTAGCATTTGTTTCGTTATTCAGAGCCGATCCTAGTCTTGCCGTGATTTGTTCCTCTGTTAGGGTATTTGTTAGGCCGCTATAATATGGGGTAGAAGTTCAAAGGAGAGCCAACTTTGTTTATATTTAAGTTTATGCCAAGGAGCTTGCTTGTCATATTTGATCATTTGGCTCTCCTTTAAATACCGATCGTTAGCTGGAAAGCCGACAGTCGCTTAGTAGGAGTTCACTCCCTTGGTACAATTGACATACTAACCTATCATCATACGGTTGCGTAGTCATCATATGGTTGTGTAGGGTGTAGGATTTGGGTTAGGGATAGGGTTAGCGTTAGGGTTAGATGTGAAAATTTTGACGCAGGAGTTCCAAATAATGGCCGACAATGTGATGCTTGTGGGAGTGGCGCCACTGGAACTGTCCTAAATATGACGGCACTAGCGCGCGGCTGGTGCCCAATTGATTTTCACATCTAACCCTAACCCTACCCCTAACCACGCAAATGTATCGGTCATTAAGGCATACAGATCTGCAGGAGTCGCATCCGTGGCAACTAATAGCATGTATATATATATCCACTAAGCGACAGTCGGCTTTCCAGCTAACGATCGGTATTTAAAGGAGAGCCGATCATTTAATTAGATACTTGAGTCAAATTTTCAAAATGCCCTCTACACCAATAAAACCAGATAGCTGTAAACAATCTCTTTCCAACGGTACTTCATTTAGGCTTGTATGTCATTTCTAAGCTGAGATATGTAGGTTTTTGTGGAGATGAGATGTAAAAAACAGCTGTTGAAAACTTGCGTCTCAGAAACAAGAAGTTTTCTCTCCGCAACCAAACTGCGCACTTTCGTTTTGGCTTTGTTTTAATTGGACAAGATGGCAGACAATTTTTCTCAGACACAGCCACATAATAGTGATTGCATGAAAAATGTCACTGTAAATCGAAATAGCCACAGATAAGAAAGAAATTTTATACACAAATGTAAAATTGGACGGAGAATTCAATTATAACTAGCATTACCATGTCTGGTTATAATTAAGGCCTAAAGCCTACCGTGAATACTTAGTGCTATTTTCAATCAAACAGATGTAACAGAAAAACAGAGGACGTCCGGCTGTCGTAGACATGCACTGTTAATCGGGTTTGTTCCTGCGGTTTTCAGCTATTCATAGCTGGTGAAAATCACACCAATCGCAAAATTTCATGAGAGATTAGGACCCATCCCGAAACCCCAGCCGACATTTCCCAAACAAGTTTCAAACGGTTTCCATGGTAACGGAAATTGCCAAAAAGACCGCAAATTGTCGAAACTGTAGTCGCTATTTTAATCATAATATTTGGCTCTACTTTAAAATTTGGCCGGTAAGCTGGACTGCTTCGGCCGGCTTAGTAGGGCTTAGTGGGAGTTATGTCCCTTGGCCGCACTCACAACAACAAGCGGAAAAAGTCACGAATCAAATGACATACTTACCTATCATCATCCGGGTGCGTGTAGGGTTGCGTACTGTTGCGTCTAGGGTTACCTATCATCCTACGGTTGCGTGTAGGACTGCGTAGGGTGTTTATCATCGTCCTACGGTTGCGTGTAGGTTGGTTGTTTGCGTAAGATGAGGGGTTAGGGTTAGGGTTTAGGTTTAGGGTTTAGGGTTAGGGGTATGGTTAGATGTGAAGATTTTCACGTAGGAGGTCGAAATAGTGGCTGACAATCTGATGCTTGTGGAAGTGGTGCCACTGAAACTCTGCCACATATGACGCCAATAGCGGGCGGCTGGTGCCCAGTCGCTGGCGAATTGTCCGTGTCCAGTAGCATCCACCGTCCATCGACTGTTTGCGCGTGCATGCGACTGTGCGCGATTATAGGTAACTACGGCGTCATATTTGGCAGAGTTTCAGTGGCGCCACTCCCACAAACGTCAGATCGTCGGCAACTATTTCGACCTCCTAAGTGAAAATTTTCAAATCGAACCATACCCCTAAACCCTAACCCCTAAACCCTAGACCAAACTACACGCAATAAGCAGCCCTACACGCAACCGTAGGACGATGATAGACACCCTACGCAACCCTACACGCAACCGGATGATGATAGGTAAGTATGCCATTTGATTCGTGACTTTTTCCGCGACTTGTTTTGAGTTGTTTTCAGTGCGGCCACAGGACATAACTCCAACTAAGCCCCGCTAAGCCGGCCGAAGCAGTCCAGCTTACCGGCCAAATTTGAAAGTAGAGCCTAATATTTTAACATGTCACTCAGACTAGAAATTACGTACACGCACACATATAAAATAGTATTAGTAATAGTATACATTAAATATTATATTTTATTTATTTATTTAATTAGTTAAATTAAATGTAGACTCTCTTTCTACTCTAGCTAGAGAGTCTTTTCTAAAGTACTAAAACTTTCTGTTACTTGATTCATTAAGACTAGTAAGTTAAGTAAGCACAGCTAGAATGGTAAAAGGCAAGGAGACTCGAAGAGTAACTTCAGTGACAATTTATTTAAACATCAGCTACTTTAAAAATAAAG